ATATATATATATATATATATATATTATATATATATATATATATATATATATATATATATATATATATTAATGTACCTTATCACCAAGTCTTGGGATATTCTTAGGATCACAATCTTTACTAAAGAAAATGACGCTTTTTTGTTGATTTTCTTTTGTGTATCCAATTAGACCAGGCACAACGCCATTTATACTCTGAATTATAGTACCCAATAAATCTTTTTCTATAATTGTTTCAAATTGAACTGTACCAGCCGGTAAGTGCTTTAATCTAATTGCACTTTGTCGATTGTTTGAAAATGAGGAAGAAGGATCCTAATGCAAAAATTTAATTAAAATATACTTAAAAAAATAAAATAAATTCTAGATGTATTATTCTTACTTGAATTACTGTGAATTCAACTTCATCCCCTACACTAATTTCTCTATCAACATCCAAAACTTCATTAAAATGAAAGAAAAGTCGTGTATCTCGATCTACACAACGAATAAAACCAAATCCATCTTTTAATGCAGCTATAATGCCTTGTTCTCGTTTTTCACCGGATACATTAAAAGATTCAGGTAATAGTAATATTTCAGTAGCTCTCTTGAGTTGATCTCTAGTATCTGTAGCAATACGAAATTTGACCCAGTCTCCATGTCTAAAAATCATATCAATTTATAATTAAATAAATGAAAAATAGAAATAAATAAAAATAATTTATAAGTATACCTGAGAGTAAAATCTCCTTTTTGATCCTTGTCACCAAAAGGAATTTCAACTGTATCTGAAGAATGTTCTGTATCTCTGTACCGAATTCTTCCAGGTAAAGGATCATTTTGATGACGAGCTGCAGTACCCCTTTCCAGAGGTTTTAATACTTGTCCTGTTACTATTTTATTACTCACTTCTTCAAAGACTATTGACCCAGGTGGTAGCTTAGTAATATTACAAGCTACTTCTTTTCCCTTAAAATATTAATGTTATTAAATTTGTGCAAAGAATTAATATTAAATAACAATTGTTCATGTATAATAGTATAATAAATAAAAAAATATTTACATTTCGAGTTTGTATTATAAATTCAACATCATCTCCCAGTCTAAGTTCTTCTTTCATAGACTTAGCTTCGCTAAAGTGAAAGAAAATCTCTTTAACTACGTCAGCACGTTCAATGAAGCCGAAATTTTCTTTCATCGAGCATACAACTCCACGATAGCGAACTGGATGTACTGGATTTTCCAATCTTACATGACATGCGCCTAAATTTCCACTGTAATTATATAATATTATAATAATTTTGCCTATGATGTGATATTATATATATTATAATAATAAATAATAACAATATTTTAAATAAATAATATTAAAATGAATTATTTAATAAATTATTCACCGTTGATTAGTAGCAATTTGAAATGACACTTTATCACCAGCACGCAAAGTAACATTTCCTTCAACATCATCTTTTGTATATGGCAGAAAAAAACATTCTCCACGATTTTCATAACTAATACGACCTTGTGTATCACCACTTGTATGCAATTCTGTTGTTACATTTCCAGTAACTCTTTCTTCACTTAGCACCTACATTATAAGATTTTATATTTATATTTATATATTTTAGTATTTTATATATTTCAATATTTTGATTATAACTTTAGATTATTCTGACATTTTATATAAATGATATATTATTATCATGATATACTAACCACTTCTGGAGCAATCTTGCTAACAGTACTAGCAATAGGTTTGCCTGTCCGACGATCATAAGTCATTTCAAATTCAACAGGATCTCCAATTTTTAAATGTTCTATATTACCACTAAATTGGCTAAAATGAAAGAACAACCTTGCTTGCCTTTCACAGCATTGTATAAATCCATATGAATGCTAGAAAAAAATAAAAGTTTGTATATAATAAAATAAATATTAAAAATAAAATAAAATTCTTACCAATAATTTTTCAATTATTCCAGTTTCTCGAGTTCCTTGGTTTTCAGATTGATCTTGATAAGTGGAGTTATTTGTTGTTGGCTCTTCTGTATAACCAGTGCTTCCTTCCATTCCTGTAAATGTTCCAAAAGGAAATCTGGTAACTTCATTACGTGACATCTTAGTATTAGGATAACCAGCATATTGTATTGTGTTTTTTCCATTTCCAGGAGGTGAATCCATCATATAATGATCTCCACTATAATTGGTACCATTTCTGTAGATATTAGTTGTTGGTTGATGTGATCCTGTTATAACTTTAGGACTTGGTATAGTCATAGACTTGTAATCAAGTATTGCAGGGTCAGAGTTCATGATTGGCGGCTGGAACGTTTTCCACTGAGGATTGTTGGACATTGTCTCAAATTTGCACAATTTTAAATGTAATCTTTACATATAAGTTTTCCTCTTTTCTTGAAATAATTACTTAATTCTTTTTTATGTTCACTTCTGTTTCACCACAATATATATATATTATATATATATATATATATATATACTTATATTAGTAATTTTTAGTCTTTTCAATTATTTAAGTGTTAACATAGATATCACAGAATGGTTCTTGGTACCTTATATCTTTGTTCACTATTATAATGTTACAAGAACTTAATACAGAGGAAGAGAGGCTCTTAAAAATGCTGCAGAAATGCAGGCTTCTTTGTGACCAAGAAGTGGAAGGAAGGATTTGAAAATATTTTGACGTTTGTCATAAATTATTTATAAAAGAGTACCCAGGCAACTCTGTGCAAAATTGGCACTCTTCAAATACAAATACAAATGTTTTATTAGTCAAGAGCAGCACAATCTCAGCCGCAATCACAATCACGGTCACTTTATAGCTCACCTAACTCTTTCTCACAAAGCTTGTGTACACAATATACAAATGAACAATATAGTTAATGTTGATTTATGAATTAATACAAGTACAAAATTCTTAGCACATCATAGACCATTGATACTTTCCACATACGTATGCACGTGTTATAACAACTGTTTGATATTTACTCAATATAGCGTACACTAGAATAACTGTGTTCCTTTTAAACAGCAGTCATCCTTTATAAAAGGAGTAAATCAAAAAACATAGGAGATTTAAAAGATAAATGTTGACTTGAAATCCTCAGATGTCTTCAATGCGTGCTGAGTGTGATTGTGTTGTTCCAATATTTCTATGTTAGCGTTTCTTTCTTCAGCATTTAATTATGGAATTTACAGTGAGCCTTGGTTTCAAAAGTGTCCTAAACTAACAATTACACAAGCTGAAATAAAAAATATTTGGTCATATTAATATAAATAAACATTAAAGAAATAATAATATATTTTAATAAAATTATGAGCTTTACTATAAAAAAAGATTTTAATAATATATGATATCATAAATAAATATTTCATTTTTTTATTATTTAAGATGTATCTATAATAATAATAGTTAATTATATTATATTTAAATAATATTTTGCTAAAATAAAAAACAATAATATTGTTTAAATGTAAATCAAAGTTTATATATTTTAAATAAAATATTATGCATTTTATATATCCATATATATATTTATAGACATACATATACATATCAAAATTTATAAATTTTAGTTATAATTTATATTTTATAGAGATATATTGAAAAAAATATTTATTTTATTATATTAATTTACTAATTTTGATAAACTTTTATTAATATAATTCTATTATATTATGGATATTATTATGGATGCATTGAAAATAAAATTCTATTTTGAATAACTAAAAAAATAAGTTTTTAACAGAGATGAGAAAAGCATCTCTTATATATATATATAGGTTATTTTTCTTTTCACATTATAATAATATACAATTATATATAGAATCTATAATATATTTATTGTATCCTATTTATGGTTATACATAAGATAAATAAAATATTGACAATAATTAACTACTAGTTTGACATTGACTTTTTATGCTCCAACTGGTACAGTTCTTTCAATGTTTTTTATTTATTTCTTGAAATTTTATTTATATTCAAAGTTTCACTTATTAATGTTATATAAATAGTGAAAACATCTTTATCATCATTTTGTTGTTTAAATTATTATTCTCGAATTTTGCTGTAAATGGAATGTAATAGTTGGATACCTATATGAAAATGTTTGAAATATATCTAACAATATAAGTATTATAAATTTTCCTAAAAGTAAATAAACATATATTTTGTTTAACGAAACATCATAAAAGTAATTTTGAATTTAAAATAATGATAACTTTAACAAGATATAAAAAACAAAAATCCGAAATATTGTACATGCTCGCCAGTTACGAGATTCTAATTTTTTATGAGGTCACTCGTTTCTTTACATATCATAAAGATTTATTAAAATTTTCTTTACTTATAAAATATCAATATAACTATCAAAAAACAAATAATTGTAATCATTATGAATGTTTCATTGCAAAGCTCATAATCGAATAGCTTTAAAAAGATTTATAAAACTCACCACGACACAGCACAGCACTGACGACATGCCGCCATGTTGAATGTCAACATTCAGTATTCACATACAAAACAGGAGCAACTACAGAGTGACTACAATTAAAAATTTGGGTTCATAGCCATCTGGTAATATTGCCGCAAAAACAATTATTTGTTTGTCCTATTATAAATGTAAAAAATCATAAATTTATATTTAAAAGTTAATAAATTTGACAAAGAATAAATAATTATTTGATTATAGAAATAGAATACACATAAAAATAAAAGTGTGTTCTTAACATAACGTTTTTGAGTAATGTTCCGGAAAAATTTAAACCAATGATATTAAAGTGCGTTCAAAAAACTGTCGATTTTAATATTTTGCTAAAAGTATCAAAAGTATCAAAATACAAAATTTTTAGTATTTAATTAAAATTAAATACTATAAATATAAATAATCTTTTAATAACAAGTTTTAACATTGGTAAAATAAACTAATAATGCACTTTAAAACTTATAACATGTACAGATCTTTTATTTATACATTTATTTTTGAAATACTTATTCATACTACACACAAAGTAACTAATTATTTATAATTTACAAATAAAATTTATTTTAATAATAATATTAAAAATATTCTTGCACATATTATTAAATATTCAATTTTTGTGAAGTTTCTCCATTTGATGTCCTTGAATATGTACCAAAGTGATTTAATTGATGCCAATGTAAGTCTTCAGATTCTGGTGTTGATGGAGCCGTAGCACATTCTAAACTTAATTGAAGAGCTCTTCTTAAATCATCATCCTCATCTACATCATCAGTCCCACATGTTTTTTTATTGTAATCATGAAAATCCAAACTTAATTTAAGATATTTATCTACATCATTTCTTTTATTCTCTTCAAAACTTAATTGAAGTGCCCTTTGTAATTCTGCATTCTCATCATCTTCTTCATCATTTTTTTCAATTTTTATGGGAATTATCTTCTCTTGTAGTTTACTTGTTGATATTTTTTCTTTATTAGATAATGCTCTGGTAAATGTATTTGATATTACATTATTACTTATACCTGTAAAACCAAACAATCTTGTTTTGTTAAAAAAAAATATATAATTATAAAATCTTCAATGGAGAGAAAAAAAATTCAGATATAATAATATTCAGATAATAACCTTTTGTTTTTGTTTTTAATGATGTTTGTCCTTTTGATATAGGTTCTATTGGATTTTTCATAAGAATATCATCTGCAGGACATTGTGGAAGTGCACCAATAACAATAAAAATAGAATAACCTATAAAGATATATAATTTTGTATCTATAATTTTATTTTTTATTATATTTCACTAAAATTTTTACCTTCTTGTAATAACTGAGCTAAATACATAGAAAGATAAGTATCCGATATAAGTTCTGGTCCGCTTAATACTGAATTTAAATTAAACCATTGCTTTCCAATCTTTCTTATAGTAAACCAATGACCTTTGTAATTACAAATATATGCTTTCATCTGTCTAAAAATTATATATATTATAAAATATAATCATATTTTAATATATGATGATTTATATACAATTTTTTTATTTTTTTCTTATTATATATTTATTTTTCAATTTTATTATTTAATATTAATGCAAGATAACTATTTTATAAATATTTAAAATTCAAATAAAAATTATTTAAATAAAAAAAATTGAATAACATACAAAGGATCGTTCTGTGCCATTATAGCTGCAGATTCTGTACTATTATATGGAATTAATTCTAATCCCCAAACTTTTAACGCACTACTAATTACTTGAACTGAGAAGTAGCCACTATCATCCATGTTTCCTGATGGTTGCTAAGCAAAATAATTAATGCCCTTTACCACATATAACGATATTAGTACAATAATTAATATTTCAAATAAAATAAATGAATATATAATAAAATATTTAAAATCTTATTTTTATATTCTGTAATATATTATAAATAATATAAAAAGTTACAATGCACAGATTCACCTCTAGAAAAAGTTTATAATCTTCACTGTCAACACCAGATTCTGCCATTCTTATCCTTTCTTCTTCATCCATTTGATGACCTAAACTAGCAAGATCTACAGCATTATAATATGGACCTTGTAAAAGTGCATTTAAACAATGTTGTGCGCATAAAAATCCTTCTTGCTGTAACAAACTTTCCCATTGAAATAATTTATATTTTAAAAAATCATTAAATACTCACGCATATTATTATTTACCTTTTCATGAAATATCGTATCCATTTTATTAATACTTTTTTAATAGAGTATGTAAAACATATAAATATCAAGTAACAATCAAATCATGCGTTGAATAATCTAAAAAGATTCTAAGATCAAACGTCACCCACAAAAATATTTTTTGGTTATAACCAAAAATATGTCATATATAGTTGATGAAACTTTTAGATATAATGAATCACGTATATAGTATTGCCATCTTCTAACAAATTGCTTACTTATATGATTATTATGAAATATTTCTTGTTTAAATTTTATTGTTTATGGTTGTTATTAAAAGTTATTTATTTCCTTTTATATATAGAAATATTTTTTTATATAACAATAATTTTTTATATAAAATATAAAAAAATAATTGATTATAATGAATAAATTAAAAATATTGATAAAATCAATTTTAAATAAACTTTAAACAATTTAAATATAGATAATATAGATAATATTTCCAACAAATTATTTCTGTTATTTGTATTTGTTACATTATATAATTAATTAGATAACATTATACACTTTTCCGATTGGTTGTGTTGCAATTGATTATTAAAATGTATTTGATGTTCTTTCATAAAAAACGTTAAGCTAAGTATAAAATATTCTATGAATTTCATCAAAGAACAAAATAAAGACTTTAAAATCTTATCTGAAACTATAAAGTAATTATTTAAAGACTTAGCGAATTTGAGCCTTGTCTGCTACCACGGCATAGAAAAGGAACTATTGAGTACTAATTATTAATGAAGGGAGAAGTAGGAGGTCGCGACTAGATTAGAAAAGAAAAATTTTATATGTGCGAGTGTATTGCCGATGTAACAGGCAATTTGAGTAGAAGGTGGAAGTGCATTGATAAATACAATATTGACGACCTGTAGAACGACACCTGCTTTACTCGAAACGGCAGACGAGGACACGGTGACGGCGGGGGCGGCCATACTCAAACAACCGCCGAGCGAAGTGCGCGGCACAGCGCAGAAATGAAACGATAATAAACTATATTATATCGTTCGTAAACCCGGGGAGACGGTAACGGGTGTAAGTGCCTCCATTAAAAAATATAAGAAAAAATTACAAAAGGAAGTAAAAACGGAAGTGTGGGAAGTGTGAAGAAAGAGGAAAGCGGCCCGACGAATCGAGGCGCACGGAACGGTATGAGTGCAAAGACAGACGTGAACAGGCGGGTCCTAGCGATTCAGGCCAAAAAAAAAGGCACAAGCCAAGCAAACGAAAAGGAAAAGCAAATATTCAAGATGAATCAGAAACATCAGGAGCTCAATGTTCAAAGGCATCGACTACTCAACAAGGACAAGGATCGAGTTTCTATCAGGATGCTTCTGCACAAAGACCATATTCCAGTGATAATGGAAACAGGTATTCAAATATCATTATCATTTTATTTTATTATATTAATATTCTTTTCGTTGACAGTTTCTCGTTTACGAATTTATGTAAATTTTTTCGATGTAATACATGTTCGTATCAAATTTCTTATCGAATTTCTTTTATATTGCAAAATGGTCAGTTTTGTTATGAAATATTTCAGTGAAAAGTAATATTTATATTTTTTAAAAATGTATTAATAATGTTTATTGTGAAATAATAAAATTTATAAATTATCTATTTTTGCTAATCCCATAAAAATTTTTGAAAACAGTTTATAGTCTTTTACTTTCTAATTCGTGTTTGCTCCCTACCTTTTCCTAACTAAAACTTACAGATTGGAACCATGTCATAGCTCAAGTAATGAAACAATGGAAGATGGTGATGAAGTATACAGTAGTGAAGATGAAGAACAAGAAGACAGCAGTGATTATTGCAAAGGAGGATATCATCCTGTTAAAATAGGAGATTTATTTTTAAATCGCTATCATGTAACTCGTAAGCTTGGTTGGGGTCATTTTTCAACAGTCTGGCTTTGTTGGGATTTACAGGTATATATTTGATTAACAAGAAAGTATATATTTTTCTAAATGAATTTATAAATATTATGTTTTAAAATATGTTCTGTAGGATAAACGATTTGTAGCACTTAAAGTGGTCAAATCTGCATCTCATTTTACTGAAACTGCATTGGATGAAATTAAATTATTAAAAGATGTACGTGATACAGATCCTGGTGATCCTAAGCGTAATAAAACCGTCCAGTTACTCAATGACTTCAAGATTAGTGGCATTAATGGTTTGCATGTTTGTATGGTATTTGAAGTTCTTGGGCATAATCTTCTTAAATTGATCATCAAATCTAACTATAGAGGAATTCCAAGAAATAATGTTAAACGTATCATTAGACAGGTTCTTGAAGGTCTTGATTATCTACATAATAAATGTAAGATTTTTATAATTGAAAAATATATTTGGTTAATATATTCCATTATATAATATATTCATATTATTCCATTAGATAATATTAATTTATGTTAATAAGTTTTAATTTTACATGAATTTGAAATATTTAATATCACAAAAATTAATTATTAACAAAATATTTTTGTGTTTTTTTTTGTAGGTAAAATTATTCACACAGACATTAAACCTGAAAATGTTCTTGTTTGTGTTGATGAAGCTTATATAAGAAAATTAGCTTGTGAAGCAACAGAATTACATTCACTTGGAATGAAATTGCCAGTATCTTTGATTTCAACTGCACCAAAGGAATTCCAAGAACCCACTCCTAATTCTAAAATGTCAAAAAATAAGAAAAAAAAACTTAAGAAGAAAGCAAAACGTCAAAATGAACTACTAAAGAAACAAATGGAACAAATAGAAGAACTTGAAGAGCAAGATAAACTTGCAAATAGCACAAGAGCAAATGGAGAATTAGAAACAAATAGTCCAGATCAAGACATAAACACAGAAAGTATAGATGATAATACCGAAAGTAAAGGTTCACCTGACATTTCAGAACCATCTGCACCTTCATTGCATATAAATGGTGTAGATAGTTTAACGGTTGAAGAAAAAATAGAAAATCAAATACCTCAACAATTAGAAAAGATGGAAAATGCAAATTCATGCGATGTAGAAAAGAATTGTGGTGAAGC